CGTTAACCCAAAAGGCATCACCAGAAATTCATAATGCCCATACCTGGTGCGAAACACTATTTTAGTGATGTCTCCTGCTTTAACTCGTAGCTGATGATACCCCGAACACAAATCTATTTTTGAAAATACCTATGCCCCTTGCAACTGATCAAACAAGTCGTCGATCCTGGTTAACAGATACTTGTTCTTTATTGTCACCTGATTCAGCTCCCTAAAATCAATGCACATTCTCATAGTCTCATCCTTTTTCTTAACAAACAGTACTGGGGCCCCCCATGGTGACACACTAGGCCGAATAAATTTCTTATCCAGTAGCTCTTGTAACTGTCTACTTAACTCCATTAGTTCTGACCTCGCCATCCTGTATGGAACCTTGGAGATTGGCTGGGTGCCAGGCTGGAGTTCTATAGTGAATTCGATCTCTCTATTGGGTGGCAGTCCCGGAAGGTCGTCTGGAAATACTTCTGGAAAACCTCTCATCACTGGTATCTCCTGGAGTGTAAGCTTTTTACTCTCGCTCCCTATCAAAGACATAGATAGCGTTGTAATTCATGCATATATTCTTTCTAACACATTATTTTAACGTAATATTTATTTATTCATTAATTTTTTCCATATAGAAAAAGGTTCTTCGTTAGGAATCTTAAACATTACCCTCTTGCGGAAACAGTCTACATGAGCATGTTGGGCAACAAGCCAATCCATTCCCAGTATTACATCAAAGTCTTTAATGTCTAGTAAAATTAAATCTACCTTTAATTTTCTTCCCTCTATTTCTACTATACAGGAGTTAAACATTACATTAGTACATAAAGCGCCATTAGTTGGCGTAGATATTACCAATACCCGGTTTAACACCCGATGTTCTATCCCTATCCTAAATTTGAACTTAGGCGATACAAATGAATATGTGACACCGAGATCAATTAGTACTCTAGTAGGAATATTTGAAATGTAAAGTATACCTTGTATTACTTCTAAGGTAGCAGCTGCCTCCGAAACTGTTATGGCAAACACCTGTCCTTGAACCAACAGTCTACCAGGCTCTCTCGGCAGAGGGCAATCCCGTACGAAGTGTTAAGTGTTCCCACATCGATAGCAGCCCCGACCACCACTCATACATGGCCGATCCCCATGGTTTTTACCGCACCGCGTACAGATCGAGTTGCTCAGAGCCATCTGACAACTTGGGGCTACATCTTGTGTCGTTCTCTGCCTCTTCTCTGTTTGGCCGCATGATGGTAGTGGTCATCTATAACTAAAAAGTCCTTTATTATTGTCAACATGTTCCTTATACAGTGCCCCTACTAACTGTGCTTTTTCCAATACCATCTGATATGTAGGTAATGCAAACATAGCAACCTGTTGATACAATTCTGCAACCCCTTCTCGAACCTCCTGGCTTTCTTGGTCTCATTCATCATAACCTCGGGCGCAAATCGGACCAAATCTTTATATTTCTCGGCATACTCCACCACACACAATCTTCTTGTCTCAATTCGGTAAACTCTGCTCTTTCACTGTCTCATAAAATC